TAATGATAAATGAAACTAAAATTTAAAATTAGTAATGTGATATAAATTATATTATTTAAATATTAAAAAGTAAATTTTATATTATTTAATAATAAATTCTTTAATTTATTAAAAATTCATAATATTATATACATTAATTAATTTATGAATATAATTTATTTCGCATCATCAATCTTAAATTTTTCATTTCAAAATTTCATTCACATTTTTTTTTTGAACAGCAAAAACTATTTATTATTTAAATGAGTACAAGGGGTACTCAACCCAATTTCACAACAAAAAAACAATCAAGAAGTCATTACATTACAGCTGACCCTTCCATTGATGATTTTCCTTCTTCCACATCTATCTTTCATGCATTCAACAGGATTGAGTAGCCAATCAGATAAAGTGAAGGCGTACATGTCATTTTTTGCTTTAATCCATATGAAAGATCTCAATTGAATTAATTCAAACAGCTTCCTCGCATTTATCTCTATATGCTGGAAAAATTTTTGATTGCGAGCAAGCCACACAGTCCACACAACCGAACTCCATATGCAATCCCATCCTTGTCTTGTTCGTGCCTCTTTGCTCCAATCTCCAAAATTTTCAAATGTCTTTGAACAGTCGATGTCGAGCTTTGCCTCGACCCCCCACCATTTGGCACATGCCTCCCACAGCCATCAACTCAGCTTGCACCTTAAGAATAGATGTGCTGAGTCCTCTTCTTGTTCTTCACAGACAACACACTTGCTCTCCTCCATGTCTTTAATAATCCCTCTTTTCACCAAATTCACCTTGGTTGGTATTCTATCCAACATTAGTTGCCAGTTGAATGCTGATACTTTGGTCGGGAGAGATGTGTTCCATGTTCTTTTGAAAATTGTAGATCTATTAGGTCCGCTTTGATCAGTTGCTAATAGGTGGTATGCTGATTTTGTTGAGTATTGACCCTCCTTGTCGTGAATCCATTCCCACTTGTCAGGCCAGCCTTGAGTAATCTTAACGCCCTCTATCATTCTTTTGAGATCAACGACCTCTCCAGCTTCCCATTCGAATATATTTCTCCTCCATGATAGCTTCCATTCCCACGATCCACTCCTTAGGTTGCCCATTTGATTGCATGTTTTCTCCTTTCCTGTTGACAGACAATACAACCTAGGAAATTTGTTAGCAAGGCAACCCTCCCCTCCCCTCCCCAATCATCCCACCAAAAGCTTGCTGTATTTCCATCCCCAATTTTCATTCTAAAACCCTCCAACAGCCATCCTACACTCTCCTCATTCACTCGATCTAGGCAGCACACATCTCTCCACCATAAGGATCCTCCTCCATTGTTATCTTTAATCCAATCCATCTAATGCTTCCCACCCTTACCATATTTCGCTGATATTATTTTCATCCAAAGTCCTTCATCAATTTTTGCTAACCGTCCCCACCACTTCCCCATCATTGCCAAATTAAACTTCCTCAAATGTCTCACTCCCAGCCCTCCCTCATCTTTACTTTTACATACATCCCCCCAACTTACCCAATTTATTTTCCTCTCCTCCGCCCCCCGCCCCATAAAAAAACGTCTACGTATTTTATCGATTGAGAGGGGTGTACCTTTTGGAATTAGGTAGGCTGACATTAGGAACACGGGCAAAGAAGACAACACTGAATTGATTAGCGTGATACGACCTCCCATAGAAAGGTATCTGCCCTTCCAGCTAGCTAATTTCCTCTCAACTGATTGTACCATTGGTTGCCACATTGATTTCCTTCTGTTGTTCCCCCCTATTGGGATTCCCAAGTATACAAATGGGAGTTCCCCTTCTTTACAGTGCAATCTATATGCCATTTCTGTTTGCCAACTCTCTGCTACTCCCACCCCCATCAAATGGCTTTTCCCGAAATTGATCTTAAGTCCTGAAGCCAGCTCGAAGATCCTCATAATTGTCTTCACCCCTTTTATGTTATCTTCTGATGCCTCCCCGAAGAATACCGTGTCATCCGCGAATTGTAGATGTGACACCATGACACCTTCATTCCCTACCCTCACTCCTTTATATATTCCTTTTTCCACTGCCGAGGTCACTAGGCCATTCAACCCTTCTGCCACTATCAAGAAGAGAAATGGCAATAATGGGTCACCTTGTCGTATGCCTTTGCTAACCGAGAATTGACTTGTTGGACTACCATTTATAAGAACAGAAATCGAGCTTGACTTTAGGCACTCCAATATCCATCTCCTCCATGTTTCATTAAATCCCAGTCGCTTCATCATGTAATCCAAAAATTCCCAACATACTTTGTCATAGGCTTTCTCAAAGTCTACTTTAAAAATGAAGCAATTCTTCTTCTTCCTTTTAACCTCATCTATGACTTCATTTGCAATGATAACCCCATCTACTAATTGTCTACCCCCAATAAATGCCATCTGCTGCTCCCCGATGACTTTGGGTAGCACCTTTCGTAGCCTGTTCGCTAGCAGCTTTGCTATGATCTTGTACATGACCCCTATAAGAGAAATGGGTCTATACTCTTCAATTCTCTAGGGGTTTTCTGTCTTTGGGATTAACACAACGAATGATGCATTGGCTCCACGGACAATTCTACCATGTTTGTGAAACTCCTGAATGAAGGCAATTACCTCCGGCTTTATAACTTCCCACATTTCCTTAATGAATCTAAAGTTGAATCCATCTGGACCTGGAGATTTGGCAGAATCACAATCCCATACTGCTTCTTTAACTTCCTCCTCTGAGAATACTTTCGTGAGAAGCTCGTTGTCCTCTTGTGAAATCTGCTTGAAACTAACCCCATCTAACTTTGGTCTCTTCCATCTTTCTTCTATGAACAGTGATTGGAAATACCTAGCCACCTCTTCTTTAATTTCTGTCACTCCCGTGAACTGTTCACCATCTATCTGTATAGAATTAATTTCACTTCTTCTCCCCCTTCCTTGGATGCAATTGTAAAAGAATCTTGTATTCGCATCTCCTTCTTTTAGCCACATCTTCCTTGATTTTTGTTGCGACATCCTCTCTTTGATTCTTAAATTCTTCTATAAATCCAGAAAGCTATTTCTCCTCAATTCAATCTCATCTGTGGCTAGCTGATTGATCTCTCCTTTCTCATCTATCTCGGTTATCATGTTTTCAGCATCCTTAATTTTTCTGTCCATCTTAGTCCCCGACTTAGCACTCCACTCCTTCAGGACTTTCTTTGTTCTCTACAATTTTTCTTTAAGAATAAAGCCACTCCACCCCTTTACTTCTGTGGTTTTCCACGAGTTTGTAATTAACTCTTTACATCCTGGTTGTTCCAGCCAACTATCGAAGAATTTGAAAGGTTTTGGGCCCCAATCTACCTTCTCATTCTTCAATAGGATTGGGCAATGATCTGATACTGTTCTCCTCAACCCCCACTGCTTAATATCACTCCATTTGGAAAACCAGTCTTCTGAAACCAGGAATCTATCTATTCTACTCAT